TTTTGTTGCTGCTGATGATTGTGATGATGCTGCTGCTGATGATGATGCTGCGGATGATGATGAAGAAGATAATGCTGATTATGATGCTTATGCTTGTGAAGATGATGATGATACTGATGATAAGCATGAGCATGATGAACACGATGACCATGCTGATGGTGATGATGCTGTTGATGAACATGATGATGCTGTTGTTGATGATGATGACGACGATGCTGATGATGATGCTGCTGATAACGATGATGCTGATGCTGCGGATGATGATTCTGATGCTGGTGATAATGATGGTGATGCTGCTGATGGTGACGATGCTGATGACGATGATTATGCTGATGATACGATGATGATGCTGATGCTGCTGCTGATGATGCTGCTGATGCTGATGACGTTGATGCTGATAATGCTGATGATGATGCTGATGCTGATGCTGATGATGATGATGATGATGTTGATGCTGCTGCTGATGATGATGGTGACCATGATAGGGATGATGAGGACGATGCAGATGATGATGAGGATGATGATGACGATGATGATTATGATGATGATGATGATGATGATGATGATGCTGATCACGATGACGATGCTGATGATGCTGCTGCTGACGATGATGATGACGATGCTGCTGCTAATGATGATGATGCTGCTGACGATGATGGCGGTGGTGATGATGAAGATGAAGATGCTGATGCTTCTGATGCTGCTGATGAAGATGTTGAGGCTGTTGCTGCTAATGATGATGATGTTGATGCTGCTGCTGATGATGATGATGATTCTGCTGATGATTATGATGATGACGATGCTGATGATGATGTTGTTGATGATGATGCTGCTGACGATGATGATGATGATGATGATGATGATGATGATGATGATGCTGATGATGATGATGATGATGATGATGATGATGATGGTGAACATGATGATGACGATGATGATGATGATGATGATGATGATGCTGATGATGATGATGATGATTATGATACTGCTGATGATGATGATGATGACGATGATGATGATGATGATGCTGATGATGATGAGGCTGTTGCTGATGATGATGAGGCTGCTGCTGATGATGATGATGATGACGATGATGATGAATAATGATGATGATTATGATGATGATGATGATGATGATGATGATGATGATGATGATGATGATGATGATGATGATGATGATGATGATGATGATGATGATGATGATGATGATGCTGCGATGATGATGATGATGATGATGATGAGGAGGAGGATGGAGGAGGAGGAGGAGGAGGAGGGAGGAGGAGGAGGAGGAGGAGGTCGCTGCTGATGATGATGATGCCGATGCTGATGCTGATGATGCTGCTGCTGCTGCCGCTGATGATTGATGATGATGATGATGATGATGATGATGATGATGATGATGATGAGAGGAGGAGGAGGAGGAGGAGGAGGAGGAGGAGGAGGAGGAGGAGGAGGAGGAGGAGGAGGAGGAGGAGGAGGAGGAGGAGGAAGAGAAGAAGAAGAAGAAGAAGAGGAGGAGGAGGAGGAGGAGGAGGAGGAGGAGGTGGAGGTGGGTGGAGGAGGAGGAGGAGGAGGAGGAGGAGGAAGGAGGAGGTTGAGGAGGAGGAGGAGGATGAGGAGGAGCAGGAGGAGGAGGCGGAGGAGGAGGGGAGGAGGATGAGGAGGAGGCGGAGGAGGAGGAGGAGGAGGAGGAGCAGGAGGAGAGAGGAGGAGGAGGAGGAGGAGGAGGAGAGGAGAGGAGGAGGAGGAGGATCAGGAGGAGGACGAGATGGAGGGGGAGGAGGAGAGAAGGAGGAGGAGGAGGAGGAGGAGGAGGAGGAGGAGGCGGGGCGAGGAGGAGGAGGAGGAGGAGGAGGAGGAGGAGCAGGAGGAGGAGGAGCAGGATGAGGAGGAGCAGGAGGAGGAGGAGGAGGAGGGGGAGCGAGGAGGAGGAGGAGGAGGACGAGGAGGAGGAGGATGAGGAGAAGCAGGAGGAGGAGGATACCACCTCCCCTCTCCCCTTCCTCCTCCTTCGATGTAAGAAGCCCTCCTCTCTCTCCTTGTCTCTCTCCTTCATGCCTGTCGCGCATGTCCCCCTTTTTGCCTCTATTCCTGTTCTTAGCGATACCGCTGGCGGCAATCTAGGCCGCCCTGCATCCTTTGTAGTTCGATTACCCCCCCAGGGCCGACGGGCCCCGGGGGGATGGCCGCGTTCGGATACCTCATGCGCCGAGAGAGCGAGAGAGAGAGAGAGAGATGAGTACCAGTGTAAACCCACGACGCATCAAGCATGTTGCAACACACCGTCCCTCCAAGTTACTCCTTCATGGGTGTCAGCCAGAATGACCCTCACTGCGGGAAGTGAGAATCTGTAATCGTACCTCAATACCAAGTCTTGGGTCTTCAACGCTGGGGGTTAACGTTGCTGTTGCGTCTTGACGCTCCCACATCGTGCCATAACACCATCCCTGGGACATCCATCATACGAACATTTGAAGCTTGTGCAAGCTTTTAAGACGAATGTGCACGGCGCTCAGGCGATACCAACATTTTGGGAATGAGCCGCCCTCCATCCGTGAAACCGTTGCCAACGTTTGAGACGTACGTGCGCGGCGCTAAGTCGAGAGCCACATGTTGACAACGACCCGCCCTCCATCCGTGTTGCAATCTTTTAAAGGCAAATGTGTGCGTCGCTCAGGCGAGATCCACCTTGTGAATACCACACGCCCAGAATTCAAGCGTCAGGATCACCAATCATGAAGAATTCTCGGGCGAAGCGCCCGGCCCCCCCCCCGCCGATGCGTCTCGGGGCGCGACATGGATAAGGCAAAGGGGTCGAAGGAGGAGGGGGGAGGGGGAGGAGGAAAAGCTGGAGGCGGAGGAGGAGGCGGAGGAGCACGGGGGAAGGGGACTGGACGCGGGCGGCGAGGAGGCCGAAGGGCCGATGGTGCCGATGGCTCGGCACGCGGGCGGATGGGCGAGGAGGGCCAGGGGCGAGGAGGGCGAGGGAGCGGCGCGAATCCCTCGGCTCGCCTCCTTCGTGTCGTCTCCTCCTCCTCCTCCTCCTCCTCCTCCTCCTCCTCTTCGTCCTCCTCCTCGTCCTCGTCCTCCTCCTCCTCCTCCTCAACCTCCTCCTCCTCCTCCTCCTCCTCCTCCCCGCCGCCGCGCCCGCGGCCCGCCCTCGCCTCCGGGGGGCCCCCCGCTCCCTTTCGTGTCGTCTCCTCCTCGTCCCGCTCGCCGGCCCCTCGAGCGCGGCCGTCCGAGCCGCGGTCCCCCGAGGCCCCCTCCCCCGCCCGCCTCGGGTGCGCGCGGCACGGGGGGCGACGGCTGCACCCCTCGGAGGCCAGAGGCCGCCAGCCTCGGGCTTCGAGAGGCGCGGGGAGGAGGGGCAGACGGGCAGACGGCCCCCGGGGATCCAAGGGCCTCCGCAGCGCGCCTCGCCGCAGGCACGCCTTGGCCGTGACGGGGAAGCAGCTGGATCTGGAGCGGTGGCAGTCTGTCGCAGCAGGCACGGGCCCGGGAGAGCCTGGCGCAGGCCTGCCAGCGAGCCTCTGGAGTGCTCGGCCGCTGGATTGTCCCGACGGCGGAGCTACACACACACACACCTCACGCTAATGAGGGCGAGGGCCAGGATGAGAAGGCATCGGGGAAGCGTAAGACTTGAGTTCGCCGGAACTCGGATTCGCCGACGCTCTTTGACGGGCCTGTCCCGAATCGAATTTTGGCGGTCCCGTTTTCGTGGGAAGTTTGTGGCGGGAACTCGCGTCAATTTTCAGGCTGGGTCTCGTCGTTTTCCTGACGGCCCCGTCAGGCCGAGTCTCCCGAGCACGAGCCTTACATCTCCCCGAAGGAGGACGAGGGCGACGAGGAGGCAGAGGAGCTGAGGCGAGGGTGCGAGGAGGGGGAGGGAGGAGGATCGACGCCGGAGGGTTTCGGGCTTTCTCGGAAGTTCCTAGAGGTCTTCTGGTCTTCCTGCCTCGAGAGGCTTTCCAGCAGCTGCGCTGCGCCGAGAGCGTTCCGGGAGTGCCCGACTCGTCCTGGACGGAAGCCAGAGAGCCGAGTTATGACCCGAAAACCAGGAGGAGGCGGATGGAGGAGGAGGAGGAGGAGGAGGAGGAGGAGGAGGAGGAGGAGGAGGAGGAGGAGGAGGAGGAGGAGGATGAGGAGGAGGAGGAGGGAGGAGGAGGAGGAAGGAGGAGGGGGAAGAGGAGGATAGAAGAGGACTGCCAAGAAGAAGGAGGAGGAGGAGGAGGAGGACGAGGAAGAGGAGGAGTAGGAGGAGCAGGAGGAAGAGGAGGAGGAGGAGGAGGAGGACCAGGAGCAGGAGGAAGAGGATGCGCAGCAGCAGGAGGAGGAGGAGGAGGAGGAGGAGGATGAGGACGTTGGAGGAAGAGGATGTGCATGACGAAATGGATTAGGATGATGGTGTCCTTGTTGTTGTTGATGCTGAGGATGAGGATGAGGATGAGGATGCGTATGATGATGATGATGCTGCTGCTGATGATGATGATGCTGATGATGATGATGGTGATGATGCTGCTGCTGATAATGATGATGACGATGATGATGATGATGATGATGGTGATGATGGTGATGATGATGACGATGATGATGATGATGATGATGATGATGACGATGATGATGATGATGATGATGATGATGATGATGATGATGATGATGATGATGATGATGATGATGATGATGATGATGATGATGATGATGATGATGATGATGATGATGATGATGATGATGATGATGATGATGATGATGATGATGATGATGATGATGATGATGATGATGATGATGATGATGATGATGATGATGATGATGATGATGATGATGATGATGATGATGATGATGATGATGATGATGATGCTGATGATGATGATGATGATGATGATGATGATGATGATGCTGATGATGCTGATAATGAGGAGGAGGATGAGGAGGAGGAGGAGAAGAATAATGGATGTGGAGGAGCAGGAGGAGGAGCAGGAGGAGCACCGCCCCCCCTGCCGCAGGACGCGATGGCCCCGCCGCTGTCCGGCGACGGCGACGGCCGCGCCGCCCGCCTGAAGCTCTTCCACCGCAAGCTGAGGGCCCGGCGCGTGCAGGGCGAGGCTCGCGCATGGACG